TTTTTTAGACGGACAAATATGACTGCTGCACTCGCATCTCACACAAAAGATGTAGCCATGCAAAGTTAAAACAGTTTAAACTTTTAGAAAACACGTCGTGAATTTGTGGAGGTTTATTCCTGTTCACTGTGTCTCTTATGTTTTTAAACGCAATCTGTGTGATGGGCGATTTGGCTCGTTGTATTAAGCAATGCATAAATACATGATACTGTTTTGTTCATAATTGTTTATGCAATTTACGAAATTATATTTGATTTATACGAGTTAATTTAGACGTAATGCACGTTTTTTTATAGACAGTTATTTCCATGCGTTGACATTGTGCTGCATTATTTTGCTCATTGTGCCCTCCTGTGGCCTCGGGAGACAAGACAAAAGTTTCCTTAAAACCTATTTAATCTGCATATAAACATTAGAAATTTGTTTAATTTTTATTGTGTGTTTGACTGTTAAAACAAAAAAATATTTGTTGTTTGTCTCAATAAATTGGGTTAATTTAAAAATACAGTGGTTAAATTTAAATTTTTTTTCTATTGCTCTTTTTAAAAAAAGTTATAAAAAAAGTCAATAATTATCGATACCGAACGATATGAAACATTATATCGTTGATACATTTTTTAGCTATATCGCCCAGCCCTAATAGAGCATATATAAAGTATTATAGCATTTGTTTGTTATTGTTAGTAACTGAAAGGCAAATGTTTGTGGTTTAGTTCGGGAGGTTTGATCTCCGATGATGAGCTGTGGTTTTTGTGTGTGTTAGTGTGCCGGCCGTGATGACGACAGAGGTGGGATCAGAGAGCGACGTGAAGAAGGAAGCGGAGAAGGCTCCTGAAGTCCAGCAGCAGACAGACCAGCCCGACAAACCCGACCCGGCCAGTGCCGAGCAGACACAGGTAGAGCTGACATCATTCCTCCACAAACTGCGCTCTGATTGGCTGTTAGGGAGCATGCATTGACACCCGTTCAGAACAGACGTCACATGACTGTGTTTGTGCAATAAATACTGCATTAGGGCTGAGTATTGAGAAACATTTCTTGCAATTTGATTCTATTTCAGTCTTGATTCAATTCAGTATCGATTCATTTTGATATATATTGGCAATTAAGGTCCTGTACATGTACGTTTCTCTTAACTAATGCTATAAACTATACAGTAAAAGCTGTCAGGTGGTGCATTTACTGAATTAAACTGATTAATGAAGGCAGTATTTGTAATAAGAATTTATAATATCATTTATTATAATAACTTTTTAATCAAAATAATTGTTTCAGGTGTTGTTGTTAAAATAAAAACATGTAAACCTTGGATGCCATTGCTTGTTTTCTGAATGGATTTATTCATACATACATTAAATATCGAAGAACAGGTTAAATAAAAATATAATGAATATGTAATAAAATGCATATATTTAGCAAAACAGTGTTTTTTTCTAGATAGTTTATGGACATTTTCACAAGCTGCTTTATTGCCATCTTTCTGTGTTGAAAACACTGATCGATTTCACGAGACATGACTCATTTCAGTAAGTTGTTCTGTTTTCTTCTGATGTTCGTTCATGTAACTAATAGCAAAGAGGAAGTGATGATCGAGTCACGTGTCACTTGATCTGTCAGAACACATTAAAGAATGACAAAACCTGTTTATTTTTTTTAATTTAGCTATAAAACTGACAGAATTTGAAAGCTGATACTTAATTTCAAAAGCTACAAATCACAAAGCTTATTGTAATTTGGACAGGAGACAAAATAAAGTTTTGTGAAGTTTTGTTCACACATCAACAGAAAACAGCATAGATGAATTCTTGTGATTGAAGAGTCGATATCAGTTCATCAAAATGAGAAGTGATTAAAGTCCAGGATTGTGCATGTTGTGCAGGAGGAGAGCCCGAGCGCCGAGGCCGAGAGCGGTCAGGAAGCGGCTGTGTCTCCGGAGCCCAGCAGTCCTCCTCCTGCTGCCGGCAGCCAGAAGAAAGAGAAGGGCATCTCTCGCTTCCTGCCTCCATGGCTTAAACGACAGAAATCACAGAGCCAGGACAAGCCCGGCGAGAGCTCAGCGCCGCCCAAGCAGGAGAGCGTGGAGGCCGTGAAGGAGGAGCAGGAGGAGACGAGCCAGCCAAAAGAGGAGGCGGACGGAGGAGGCGCAGCGACCGCCAGCACAGAGCAGACAGAGGAGGTGAAGGAGGTGAGAGAGGAGAGCACAGCAGAGGAGGTGCAGCCGGAGGAGAAGGAGACAGAGGAGGAGAAGTCTATCGGCAGTGCTGACACACAGGTGAGACAAACATGCATGAATGAGTCTGTAGATAATATACACTACCAGGGGTCAGGAAGATTTGTTTTTTAATAAATTAATGCTTTTATTCAGCAAGGACTCATTAAATTGATCACAAGTGACAGTATTTCAAAAGATTTCTATTTCAAATAAATGCTGTTCTTTTGAACTTTCTATTCATCTCTGAATCATGGAAAATAAAATGTATCACAGTTTCCACAAACATATTGTGCAGCACAACTGTTTTCAACATTGATAATAATCAGAAATGTTTCTTGAGCAGCAAATCAGCATATTAGAATAATACTGCATTGCAACCAAATGCAACCTTGGTGAGCAGAAGAGACTTCTTTCAGAAACATTACAAATCTTGCCGACCCCAATCTCTTGAACGGCAGCATGTGAGCGATTTGCTTGAACTAAGAAGACATTTGACTAAATCTTGGACTGAATCAAATGAGTTCATTTCACACTGCTGGATGGAGTGTTTATTTTCACAGTTTTTTTGTCATGTCATGTTCATTCATTTTAATCTTTCACTCTGATCTAATTTTAGTTGTAAAATTAGTTTTAAATGGACATTTTATGTGTCAAAACGCAAAATTAAAGGGGTCATATGATGTTGCTAAAAAGAACATTATTTTGTGTATTTGGTGTAATGAAATGTGTTTATGC